CTCCTCTCTCTCTCTCTCTCTCTCTTTCACACACACACACACACACACACACGATGCACAAACCTCTGCATTTGAACAGTCAATAGCAAATACTTAAACTAATAACAAAACAGTAGCTGATTCAGAAGCGACAGATTGTCATAGCAAATTCAGAATTACCTCCTCTCCTAGGTTCACGAAATGGTCGTCCATAAAATGCATTGCTGTTCTGTTGTAAGTCATCTTAAAGATTCCTAAATGCATCTACTATCGGAAGGCCAAATAAAGTGCTTTTGCTTTCGCCTAGAAACACACAGCGTCTCCCTGACATGGCTGCTTCAACACTAACTGCGATTACTGAAACCACGCATTCTTTCTTTGTGTGAACATTATGCAAATATTTCCACATAGTGAGGTAGATATGTGGGGGCGTGTTAGAACGAGCAGTTTTAGGGGGGCGTGGCAGAGTCTTAACTTTGATAAAGAATATCTCTTTGGTTTTGAGACTTTAGTCTTTGCAACTTCAGGGATCTTATCTATTCACAAACAGCTTGTAACACTCCAAAGAGAAAGGAAAACTTGAAATCGCGTCATATGACCCCTTTAACCTACAGTTCCACCTATAAGCTGCTTACATAACATAAAAACCAGTGGAAAGCATCTCCCAAACACTTCACGCACCAGTTGTCATGTTGAAGTTTATCTCTCAGCAACATAAGCTGCTTGATCACTTGAGAGAGTTGAGTGCCATTGTTTTGCACACAGTGATAGCTGAGAAGGCAGAGCCATAGTATCTGGTTAACACCATGCTCCTGTGCTTCCGCAGAGACCTGTCAGTCAAGCAGAGTTTTCACTTCAGTGAATCATTCAGCACTCCCTTTCTGATACAGCTGACCCAGCCTTCAAACCTGCAATGAACTGTCGTTGGTAAGTTTGAGAGCACACAGATCCTCCCCGACGCGCAGCATGAAGTGAGCGGCAAATAACATGTCGGGGAACTCTTGGTAGCGTGTCTCACATTTCAACAGCCCTGTCAACAGATGAAGACAGCTGTTAACGTTATATGCATTCCACTGATTCTTGAGACATGTCCCACAATTTTACTTGTCATACTTTGAAAACACCTGTCATGAGATCATAACTAAATCATTCTTTTTGACAAAATATTAGTTTTTTTTTCAACTGCATACACACACTTTCAAAACGTTGCCTCTTTTTTTCAAAACTTTACACACAAATCCAAGAATTGCACACACAAAATGCTTCACATCTCTTGCAAAATGAAGCACTGCATTCAAAATATCACAAACACATCTCAAAAGCAAACATTTGCAAACACCTTTGCCATAATATTAATTCCTGTTAATTAGCGAGAATTAGCGTATGGTTTTGCAGATTTGGTGTGTGGTTCTGGTGTTTGAGTGTCAGGTTTCAGAAATTGCGTGACAAGTAAAGATTTTGTGTGTAAGCAGTTGAAAAAAAACATATTTAAGAAAGCCCGTTTCTGCCGACTAAGAAAAACAATCATTGTGAATCATTGGTAAACCACAACTATGAATAAAAAGTCATTATTATAAGACAAAAAGTCAAAATTATGATACTAAAAGTCATTTCATAAAAAGTTATTGTCATAAATCGACATTTTGTCATAATTATGACTTAGTATATCACAATTTCAACTTTTTATTCCATAATGCCAAGTTTTGTCATAATTATGACCTTTCAGGTCAATTTTTACATCAGACTTTAGGGTTTTTATCTCATAGTTATATCTTAACAAATCAACTTGTATGCCATAATTTTGACTTTTTAGTGCATTACTGATTTTTGACATTTTGAAGTAATGTTTGACCTAAGACTGTCTCAGACCTTTTAAGCTGTGAAGATAGATGCTGCTTGGCTGATGTCCTTTCAAATGACCAGTCAGTTTAAAGATGAACAGCCTCAGAGAGACTAAATAACCAAGCTGTAAAAATAAATAAACAAATAATCAGAGTGAAACTGTCAGCAGAACTTATATATGAAAAGAAAGATATATAGGCTAAATAAGGACTGATATATAGATAATTCTGTAATTACATAGAGAAAAGGCTTTACTTGTGTTTAGTTAGCAAATATCTGAATAAATAATAATAATAATGAATAAATGAAAAGTGTCTGCAATTACAGAATGACCCATGTTTAGAGATTGTATAGCGTGTTGGCATGCACCTGCAGCATCTTCGTCTCATAAGAACATGGCTGGTCCAAAGGAGTTGTTTCAGAGCACAGGAAATACTGGGCTGACTCTGCCAGGTGGAACAGCACAGGGATCTGATCTGCATCAACAGGTGCATGGTCCAGTGACACGACCAGGACATGCAAAGAATCTAAGAAAAATCATGAGCATCATCTGTCATTTGTCCACTAACCAAATACACCAAAACGTGCCGTGGTAATACGTTTTTTGAAATGTATGTACCACAATATTCTTAGAAGTACCTTGGAGTGTAACCATGGTATGTGAGTATTGTAATTATTCAGTCTTATGGCATATAAAAGTACTAATATGTTCTGATTACTGGAGTCAACACATGGACAGTCTCACTGTGAATTCTGTAGCCAATTGAAACAGATGATTCATTTGTAAAAATAGAAGCTGTCAGCCTCTGCAAGTTATTGACACACCATTTCTAACGTTTCCATTGCACAAGCTCAGCAGGAGAAGCTGTGTCCAGGCCCCGGGGAGATCAACATGTTTGCCTTCACCTCCAGATGCGAATCCTGCACGACGCTGAGGACAAAAAGCGAATCACTGCGGTTGAGGCGAGGGCTTTCATCAATGGAGATTCGTCTCCACCGTGTGGCTGGAGAGAGTAATATGTCGATTTATTACAACTTGTCAGAAGTTCTTTTCGAGGGGTTTTCGGAATCGAATACATCTCCATAATGAAGCCTTATTTCTAAAACAATTTAAACTGAGTGAACAATTAAGGAAGCGTATTTAGCCTGATACCTTGCATCGACTAAGAAACTGCTTTGCAAGATTTTCATACTGTTCCTGCTCTTTGCAGCCTTGTGCTTGATTGTATTTTTCAATGAAGCCTTCTGTTGTTTCAAAGGGGTTTCTGTAAAATACGACAGATGGCATAGTTAATGTCAGTTTAATAAAACAATCATTTTAATAACAATAATATACATTTTAATGGATGGATTCGTTGTTTCGTTTGGGCTTTTTTTAAATTTGTAATTTATTTAACTTATTCAGATACCTTCTGACATCGGTGGCATTTCTAGCAGTATCAGCTTCTTCGGCCTTTTTTCTGAAACGTTTTATTAAATCCTCTTGTTGAGACTGTGACACTATTCCTAAATAATGTTTGATAGGAATTTTGAGTATAGGCATGTTGATAGGTTCAGCTCAGTCTCTCACAAAGCAAATGTCCACACTGTCAGGGACGTCGAAATGTTGCTATGGTTACATTGTCAACAATATCTTAAAATTGTTACATGAATACATTTTAATACATGCATGTATCTGAATATACACTTTTAAAGAGCCGAATTAACTGCGGTGCACAGCTTTATAAAGCTATTCGCATTGAGATAAAACGTCAGTACGACACGACTTTTTTTTTTGCTTGTGCAATTGATACGCAGACATGTGTAAATGCAGGTTGTAAATGTGAAAATTGCGAATATTTTGGTCATAGCAGACTTCTCAGTGGAGAGCTTTTGTTGCTGGTCGTTCACGCTGGCTGTGTGCTCAGTTTTGTAATCTCTTTGATTCAAACCTGTATACACGACAATAAGCAGCTCATTGCCGGATGACTAATGAGGTTTTTTTTAAGGTTAAGTAACGGCCAGTGGGTCCTCATGCCTATCTAATTCCTTTGTAATGTAAATGAGTTGGATCATTGGAACTCAGGTACTTGAAGATGGCACAGATTGCGCGCATGGACGCCTATAATTAGTGTATCAAATTATAGATTCAAATACACGTTTCTTCTATTTAGCAAGTCACTCATTGTTATTTGCTTATCACTTCTTTTTTCTGTGTGTGTCCAGGTATGTAGGAAACCTGTCACGGGATGTGACCGAGGCCCTTATAATGCAGCTCTTTGGTCAAATTGGCCCCTGCAAGAGTTGTAAAATGATTGCGGATGTGAGTATATTAATTGAGAGAGATGTATATAATTAGGGATGTAAGTTGGATGGTTCGTCACAATACCCGATTCTCATACCCATTGATACGATATTTGTCAATACTTCAAAAAAATCTACGGTACGATTCGATACAGGAGAATATTGATTGATATTATATACCTATTTTAAACAACCATCTACATTATTAACTCACTAATGCAACCAAAACATATAACATGAACATTTATCTTAAATTTTCACATCCTGTTCCTCAATTGGGACATTCACAACAAAAAATAGGCCTACCCTTTTTTTTCTAAAATAATAAAGAAAAATAAATAATTGAAAGAGGAAAAAATCAAGTCACACACAAGATCAGTAATCTTAAGATATGACAAGAGTCAAGACAGTCTTTCAGGTTTCTGTGCTAAAATATGCATTGTGTAAGATAATGTAAATTATAATTGGGAAACAACACAAACGAGGTACTCCAGTTGTAGAAAAAAATACATTAATGTAGAAAAAAAACAAAAATAAAGCTGTTGACTTTTATTTTATACTATTTTTTTTCCACTGCTACACATGGGCTCAGTGATAACCTTTTCTACGGAACCAAATTACAAGCAATAGCAGAAAATAAATGCAGTATAACAAAGACACAAATTAAATAGTGTTTTTCATGTAGATCTAAAATAAATTTCCAGGTACAGAAATGTAATCAAATGTAAAATAACACTGCATAGTCTTTACTGTATAGATTACATATAGATTAATCCTTATAAAAGTTGTTCAGGCAAAATCAGTGTTTTTTTTTTTTTTTTTCTTCTCTGTTAATCTGCTTTCACTTTAAGAAAAGCACGGATCCAATGTAGGTACTGATACACATGCGGTTTCTTTCTCAGCTGTTTACGTTAAAGGGATAGTTCACCCAAAATTGAAAATGTGATGTTTATCTGCTTACCCCCAGGGCATCCAAGATGTAGGTGACTTTGTTTCTTCAGTAGAACACAAATTATGATTTATAACTTTAACCGTTGCAGTCTGTCAGTCGTATAATGCATGGCAATGATAACAAAATCTATGAGAGTAAAAAAAACATGCACAGACAAATCCAAATTAAACCCTGCGGCTCGTGACGACACATTGATGTCATAAGACGCGAAATGATCGGTTTGTGCCAGAAACCGAACAGTATTTATAGCATTTTTTTTACCTCTAATACACCACTACGTCCAACTGTCTTTGAGCGCGAGCAGGCATCCGGTGCATGAGGTGTGTACGCGCTCTGGCATAGTTTACGCAAGCGCCGGAAGTGATCTCTCACGCGTATACGTCACTCATCGTTTACACAGTGCACAAACATTGTAGGTACGACGGCTAATCAAAATGGTACTTACTTGCGCTTATCCGGATTGTTCAAACCGACTTAAAACTAAAAGATTACGTTCTCTCGCGCGAACTCATTCGGGAGTGGTGACTTTCCACATATTCCCAACTTCTGAGCCTGCTCGCCTGAAGTTATGGTTGATTGCTCTTCGGCTGGATATCAACACACCCATTAAAGTAAACTACTATTGGTGAAAAGGTGGACAGTGTCAAAATAAGGTGCCCATTTATACTACAGATATCGATATTTTATGTGTGGCATCGATACATCGTATCGTTAGACATTTAATCTATGAATCGATCCGTATTGATGAATCGTTACACCCCTATATATATATATATATATATATATATATATATATATATATATATATATATTTGGGCTGTGCAATATATTGAAATATCGCAAATGAACATAGCAATATGCATATCGCTACGGCTTGCAATATTTGAGGCCATGAACAAAGAGAAAATCGCTCACTACTCTTACCTAAATAACTTTTGTAACTTAAGTAAGAATCAGTGCATATTGAATTCATAGAGTAAATGTTAAAATGACATTTTTATGTAATGCTAGAGTAAAACACTACCGTTCACTTTCAGAAGTTGTTGTAGGGGGTGCTTTCTTCTCACAAAAAGTGAAACATGTATGCTAGTTATAGTAGAACCAGAATGAGCTTTATTCACCACTTAAGTGTGCGCAAAAACAAGGAGTTTGTGGTTTTACAGGAGCTCTTGATACATACATGCGTGCATGCATACATACAAATAACCATATATATATATATGACACACGATAGTTATAGAAGTTCACAGAACTGACTCCGCAACAGCGGAGTAAAACTGTTTCATGTGAGCATGTGGCACATTATCGTATCGAATATCGCATTTTTCTTCAATATTGCACAGCCCTAATATATATTATATTTTATTTATTATTATTATTTTTTTTTTGTGAGATATTTCCCCTGAAGTGTATATACAATGTACAATTTCTTTTGCATTAGTAACTTTTTATTAGTATCTTAAAAGATCTATATATTTTTAGCATTAGTTTTTTTTTTTGTCTTCACTCTGAGGTTTATTTACAATTTACAATGTTTCTTGCGCCAGAATTGTGTGGATATACACCACATGGCATAAGTTGCTTTTGTCTAATCGCCTCATTTGCCTTCAGACGGCAGGTAACGATCCATACTGCTTTGTGGAGTTCTTCGAGCATAGGCACGCAGCGGCCTCACTCGCATCTATGAATGGGCGTAAAATAATGGGTAAGGTAAGCTATCGTATCTACAGGGTGAGTTGGGCTGGGACGGGAGGGTTGGAGAGTTTAGATGTTCTGCAAACTTTTTGCGACGTAGATTTGACCGCTTGAGTCTGAGGTCAACATTAGCCTGTATACTGGATGTGCAATGTGAACTGAGAGGGAGATTTTGACATTTTTCATGTTCAGGCCATACAAATCTCATTATTTTGAACTCGAATTGAATAAAATAATGATCGGTGCGATAGTACATAATTCACCTGACTGATGCGTTTGTATTTCCATTGTTGGATGTGGTGCTTCCTTGAAATGTGAATTTTGTGCTAAAGTACAGACAGGAAATGTAAAACTTAAAATTTATTACAGCCATTACCACTTTTAAAAAAAATGTTTATATAAGATAGCATTTTGAAAAAAAGAGGCTTAACTTCACCCACATTCAACATTTTTTTTTTGTTTTTGCTTCAAGTTTTGTCATATACTCAACCATTTAAAAGTTGTGGTTTAAGATTTTCTAAAATGTTTTTGTAAGAAATCTCTTATGCTTGCTTAAGTAGCATTTATTAGTTAAAACAATGATACTGACATATGACTACACAAAAAAGGTTCATTTTAATATATTTTAAAATGTAATGTGATCTTGTAAAGGCAAAGCTGAATTTTCAGCAGCCATTACTCCAGTCCACAGCGTCACATGATCCTTTAGAAATATCTTATTATCAGCATTGGAAAAAGCTGCTTATTATTTGTTAACTGTAATAAATTGTTAGAGTAAATGGTTTTCTTTTGAATTTTCCATTCAAAGAGTCCTGAAAAAGAGACTTCTTAATGTTTTTAAAAATTACTGACCCCAAACTTCAAAACAGTAGTGTATATTGCATATCACCCCTTCATATACCTAGAATTTGACTCTAGAACAAGATTTTACATTAGAGTCAAATTATTAAGTCTTCTGCCTATTCAGTGCAAAATATTTTATCCTCATGCAATATTTGAGGCCATGAACAAAGAGAAAATCGCTCACTACTCTTACCTAAATAACTTTTGTAACTTAAGTAAGAATCAGTGCATATTGAATTCATAGAGTAAATGTTAAAATGACATTTTTATGTAATGCTAGAGTAAAACACTACCGTTCACTTTCAGAAGTTGTTGTAGGGGGTGCTTTCTTCTCACAAAAAGTGAAACATGTATGCTAGTTATAGTAGAACCAGAATGAGCTTTATTCACCACTTAAGTGTGCGCAAAAACAAGGAGTTTGTGGTTTTACAGGAGCTCTTGATACATACATGCGTGCATGCATACATACAAAATACCATATATATATATATGACACACGATAGTTATAGAAGTTCACAGAACTGACTCCGCAACAGCGGAGTAAAACTGTTTCATGTGAGCATGTGGCACATTATCGTATCGAATATCGCATTTTTCTTCAATATTGCACAGCCCTAATATATATTATATTTTATTTATTATTATTATTTTTTTTTTGTGAGATATTTCCCCTGAAGTGTATATACAATGTACAATTTCTTTTGCATTAGTAACTTTTTATTAGTATCTTAAAAGATCTATATATTTTTAGCATTAGTTTTTTTTTTTGTCTTCACTCTGAGGTTTATTTACAATTTACAATGTTTCTTGCGCCAGAATTGTGTGGATATACACCACATGGCATAAGTTGCTTTTGTCTAATCGCCTCATTTGCCTTCAGACGGCAGGTAACGATCCATACTGCTTTGTGGAGTTCTTCGAGCATAGGCACGCAGCGGCCTCACTCGCATCTATGAATGGGCGTAAAATAATGGGTAAGGTAAGCTATCGTATCTACAGGGTGAGTTGGGCTGGGACGTGGGTGGGATAGTTTAGATGTTCTGCAGACTTTTAGGAAAGTAGACTCGACCAGTTGAGTCTGAGGTCAACGTTAGCCTGTATACTGGATGTGCAATGTGAACTGAGAGGGAGATTTTGACATTTTTCATGTTCAGGCCATACAAATCTCATTATTTTGAACTCGAATTGAATAAAATAATGATCGGTGCGATAGTACATAATTCACCTGACTGATGCGTTTGTATTTCCATTGTTGGATGTGGTGCTTCCTTGAAATGTGAATTTTGTGCTAAAGTACAGACAGGAAATGTAAAACTTAAAATTTATTACAGCCATTACCACTTTTAAAAAAAATGTTTATATAAGATAGCATTTTGAAAAAAAGAGGCTTAACTTCACCCACATTCAACATTTTTTTTTTGTTTTTGCTTCAAGTTTTGTCATATACTCAACCATTTAAAAGTTGTGGTTTAAGATTTTCTAAAATGTTTTTGTAAGAAATCTCTTATGCTTGCTTAAGTAGCATTTATTAGTTAAAACAATGATACTGACATATGACTACACAAAAAAGGTTCATTTTAATATATTTTAAAATGTAATGTGATCTTGTAAAGGCAAAGCTGAATTTTCAGCAGCCATTACTCCAGTCCACAGCGTCACATGATCCTTTAGAAATATCTTATTATCAGCATTGGAAAAAGCTGCTTATTATTTGTTAACTGTAATAAATTGTTAGAGTAAATGGTTTTCTTTTGAATTTTCCATTCAAAGAGTCCTGAAAAAGAGACTTCTTAATGTTTTTAAAAATTACTGACCCCAAACTTCAAAACAGTAGTGTATATTGCATATCACCCCTTCATATACCTAGAATTTGACTCTAGAACAAGATTTTACATTAGAGTCAAATTATTAAGTCTTCTGCCTATTCAGTGCAAAATATTTTATCCTCAACAGGTAATGAAGGACCATTTGAGGAGTAATACAATTTGGTAAATTCACTTTAGTAAGTCCCTTGTTATTTGGACCTTTTTGCTACCAATAATATATCTATATTTTTTTGCCTATTCAAATAAGTTTAAGTGTGAACTTGAAGTTAGTATCGTCAGGTCTCCCTCCTCTCTGCTGTACATTCAGACGTCTATAGTGTTAAGGAGAGTCATTTATTAATAGATGAATAGAGAGCAGCAGCTTGATCTATCTGTATCATTTCTAATCTTTCTCTCAATTTGTTCCTCCCTATACCCCACTCTCCTAGGAGGTAAAGGTCAACTGGGCTACATCACCTAGCAGCCAGAAAAAAGACACAACCAGTGAGTTCCATCATCAATTAATGCCTGTAATCTTAAAAAGGCCAAATATTCTCTGATTAACAGACCTGGCGCATACATTGATCTGTCACTCATTCATAATCCTTGAATGTCCGAATTATTACAAATGGGGTGTCAGTCCAATTAACTCTTGTCTGGTATGCTTTAGATCACTTCCATGTCTTTGTTGGAGACCTCAGCCCAGAAATCACCACTGATGACGTCAGAGCTGCCTTTGCACCCTTTGGGAGGATGTCGTAAGTGAAATGACATGATGCATTTTGAATAAAGAAAATACATTGAGTTGCATTCAACTGCTTTGAGTCATTAGGCCTGTTTAAAGACTAATAAACATGCAAGGTCATGTAAAAGCCTTTTCACCTTTTTCTCGAGGAGAGGTCATGCATGGATAATTCAAAACACATCAACACACCCAGGTTTTTGCCCGTTGCCCCACTAAGTTTGCATGTATAGCTCATTTAAAATTTAAAAACATGGATCATTTAAAATCTCATGTGAACTGTTTTCTGGCCCTTTTTTGTTCCCCATTTGAATACCTAAAATGGGTTTTTGTAATGAGTAGTTTTTCAACGTTTAGCAGCCAGTGAGTGTTAACATTGCTTGACTTTTCCCTAAGTAATATGTTTACGAGTCTCAAAGGATTTCGGATTATTTTTTTCCCCTGTTAAAGTAGCACATTGGAGTTTAAATTGTCTATTCTCAACACACCCAACTCTTTTCTCTTATTTTCTTAGAGATGCACGTGTAGTCAAAGACATGGCAACGGGGAAGTCAAAAGGCTATGGTTTTGTTTCATTCTTCAACAAATGGGTGAGTCACAATCCCAACGTCAGGAAATGCAGGTTTTTAACTAAGGGTGGGGAACGTCTGCATTTGAATGCTTATCCCAGAAGCTTCTGTTGTGGCCATGTGCGGATGTTCCTGTTGTGCTGGTTATTGGCAGGATGCAGAGAATGCCATTCAGCAAATGGGAGGTCAGTGGTTAGGCGGCAGGCAGATCAGGACTAACTGGGCTACAAGAAAACCCCCAGCGCCTAAAGCAACCTATGAAAGTGAGTATTCATATGCCTTAAAGACTTCTCCACTGCTTTTAATCAAGAGATAACCCTGGTCTGTTTCTAGCTGCCATCATGAATTCGCAATCTAACCCATGCTAAAAGTGTTCATTCTGGCAAACAAGAAAATACTCCCGTTTACTCACCTTTATAAAAAAATTTTTTTTAACCCACGCAAAGTTTTTGCTTAATCTAAGTCCTTATTCACTAAAAGTCACATTTCATTTGATTCAAATATGGCACGTCAAGTCTTGTCGCACTGGTTTAACCTTAATTATAGGACTTGCAAGAACATGTTTGGCATCATTGTCAATCCTGGTTCAGGGTGTCTGGATACAAGTGACAACCAACACCAACTATAGCAAAATGGACCTCAGCTTTGAATAACTTAATTTTTTTTTAATGAAAATCAGTGATGACAAATTTTAAATTGTGTATGAACTTTAAAACGGAAACAAAACTACAGCGAGAATAAAAGTTACGCCGCTTTTCTTGGTGTGAACATTTGGGCGGCGTTATGCAAATCTTCCCACATAGTGAGGTAGATATGTGGGGGCATGTTAGAACGAGCCGTTTTAGGTAGGCGTGGCTGACTCTTAACTTTTATAAAGAATATCTTTGGATTTGAGACTTTAGTCTTTGCAACTTTACAGATCTTCTTTATGCACCAAGAGCTTGTAACACTCCAAAGAGAAAGGAAAAATTGAAATCGCATCATGACCACTTTAAGCACCTTCTCAAAACATTTCTGAAGCATGCTTTTTGTTTGTTTGCTGACAGACACCAGTGTTTCTCACAGACTGCAAATTAATTCTCTACCAGCAGGAGGCGCTTTAGGGGCTGGAGATATAGCGGTTTCCACGGTAACGGCTGTAATCAAATCAGCCCGGCAGCTCACAAATGCTACTTTCAGGCATTTCAGGAAAGACGAAATTAAAATGACATTGAAGCTTTTCTGAAAACAGTCGGTACTTTTCAAAGATGCATTCATATAAAAACACCCGCGCTGCATTTATTTTGAAATGTGAAGGGCTCCTTTTATTCAACGAAGTATAAGCCTTTTGGAAAATCTATTTGTGGTGGTCAGTTTTGATATTGTGACGAGCCGCCACAAATAACTGAATGCGTAGGAAACACTGGACAGTGCTATAAGTCAAATGGCCATAGTGATTGCAAAAATAAAAGATTTCACACATTACACAGCCTGCTGCTCATAACTGCTTAAGAGTGCGCTGGCCACATCGTGGAGGCTGTTGTCGGACCCACACACACATTTCATGAGGAAAGTTAACGTGCACATTATAATCAGCCCAGAAGTTTCATCTGAATTGAACGTGTTTCTACTTTCACATGCAAATGACTTGTTGCACTTATGAATATGAAAACTTTCCGGCATCAATTCTAGTAGGGTAAAACATAATTCTGCTTTCGAAACGGTCTGTTTTGCCCTGGCATTAGCTGAAGCTGTGTGTGAACAGGCCACGGCTGCAGAGTGTGAGCTGCTCTCAGGGTTCGTACGGTCAT